CTGTAAGAGAATAAACTCCTGTTTGTTAAGGCCTTCCCATTTATGGTATATTTCTTGTCAGAGCAGTACTACATAACCAAAACACAAACAAATACTTGTTTTTAAGAATTTTAAAAAGATCTGTGTCATCATTTTTATTTTAAATGCCAAATTTTTACTTCAGGAAGTTCCTGTTAGTGACTATTGTTTTTAACCTATGGTCATGGATAGCTAATATGCAATTTATAATATTCAATATGCTTTTTTTGAGTATATATTCTCCTTGAGAAGGAGCTGTGATGGCACAGTACCCAAGGTTAACTAGACTAACTAACTGACTGCTAACCAGAAGATTTGTGATTCAAACCCACCAGCCACTCTGTGGAAGAAAGACTGGGCTATCTACTTCTATAAAGATTTACCATCTCCAAAACCCAATGAGGGTTGCTATCAGTTGAAATTGACTTGATGGTAGTGGGTTTGGTTTGATTTTAGTATATTCTCCTTAAGAGTTATTCCACCTGCCACTCAATCTGCTTTCTTTCACCAGACTAAGTACAGAAATATTTAGAACTAAAAATAAGACTTGATAATTGACTAAATAAGAACGATGGAGAGGAAGGAATCTGGAATGATATCTAGGTTTCTGGTTTGGATGAGTAGTTGTATAATTGTGCCATTAATTGAGATCAGGAATACATGAAGAAAATCAGATGTGGTGGATGGTAGTGAATTCTGTTTGGGCATATTTAGTTTTAGAGGCTTTGGGACATCCAAATGGAAATGTTCAGGAGGCAGTTGAATATGTTTGAAGGTTCAGGTAGAAAATGCAGGGTTGGAAATGTAAAGTTAGGAACCATGCAGGTATTAGTTAAAATCGGAGTTGTTGAACACTCCCAAGAAGAGCATATAAAGAGAGCAGAACATGGGTCAAGGCAGAACCCTGAAAAACTCTAATGTTTGATGTGGGTGGAGGGGGAAATACCACAGAGTAGCAATGAAGGGTTGGTCTGAAAAGGGAAACTAGAAGTTAGAACAGTTTTAAGTGATGTAAGGTCCATAAAGATGTATGTATGTTTTGATTATGAGTGACTAGCACAGTAGCCAGCATATAGTAAATGCTCAATAATATTTGCAGAATGAGAGTAAGCTATCAACTGTGATTGCAATACAGATAAGGAGTGAAACACATTCAGTAAATTTGATACTGTTGAAGCCATTGTAACCTTTCCCAGAACAATTACAAGTGCTAGGAGACTGAGGAAGTGAGAAAGTGTAGAGTAAGACTCCTCTTATAAGAAGTGTAATTTAGAAGATCAGAGGGGTGGTCAGTGGAGAAGGGACACAGTATAAACACAGTGATTTTGCTTATTTTTATTTTCTTTGGTGATAAGTTATTGAGCATGTTAATAAGTTAAGGTAGAGAAATTCCATAGAGAAGGAAAGGTCAAAAACTAAGAACAAGAAGACAAAGAACTCAATTTAAAAATGGGCAAAGCACTTAAATAGAGATTTTTTTCAAAGATATACCAATGGCCAATAAACTTATGAAAAGATAAACAACCCACTGCAGTTGAGTCGGATCTGATTCATAACGACCCCTCCTCGGGAAGTATTACTATGGAAGTAGATTGTCCAACCTTCCTTCTGCGGAGTGGCTGGTGGGTTTGAATTGTTAGCCTTCTGGTTAGCAGTCAAA